GAGAGAGAGAGAGAGAGAGAGAGAGAGAGACAGAGCATGAGCAGGGAAGGGGAGAAAGATAGGGAGACACAGAACTCAAAGCAAGCTCCAGGCTCTGAGCTGTCAGCACAGAGTCCAATGCGGGGCTCGAACTTGCAAACCTGAGATTGTGACCTGGGCTGAAGTCAGATGCTTAACCGACTGACCACCCAGGCACCCTTAGCTGCTATTTTTAAATACCGCAGACATACCTGTCCTGTCCAGGAATCTTTCCCTGACATATACTCTTAACACATACACACACACACACACACACACACACACTCACAAACAGGCACATATACAGATACACACACAGAGTGTATCATCCCTATGGTTATCACTCTTATTTTTCCATGGCATCTTGCACCAAATTATCTGTGGATTTTTCTAGGGATCCTGCTATGCTGGGAGGCGCTGGAGGGCAGCGTCTTGCTTATTTAGGACGTGGCTCCACATCTTGCATTTCCAAGAGCCTGACAGAGTGCCTGGCTCATGCTGAACATAGTGGTGCAGCCTGAATGCTCCAGTGCGGGGCCAGCTGGGCCAGAGCCATTGTGCCTGTGAGCCGTCCCCAAAGGCACGACCTCATGCCCGGTCCTGAGCAGGATTTCTGTTTCCTTGTATATAGTTTCTGGGACGCTAAATTAAAAATGGGTGAAAAGACCTAAATGCGAGACGGGAAGCCATCAAAATCATAGAGGAGAACACAGGCAGCAACCTTTTTGATATCGGCCTTGGCATTTTCTCACGAGACACGCTCCCGGGCCAGAAGTGTGATAAGGAAACAACAGTATACGTTTGTTAAGATTTATGGGGTTTATTTCTTTTTATGTCTTATACAGTCTTTCCTATGCAAAGGGTAAAAAGCAGGATGGATACAGAAATGTGGATGCCATCAGCCTGACTGATGTTTGAAGGTGTGAGAATGTGTGAACCAGTGAAAGTGTCAGCTGAAATTTAAATCTCACAAATAAGCAGAAAATATAATTTCTGGCAGACTATATATATATATATATATATATATATATATATATATATATATATATATATATATATATATATATATATATATATATATATGGTGTTCTTTGAACAGTATTGTTTAAGAATAAAATACTTTGCGGGGCGCCTGCGTGGTTCAGCCCGTTGAGCGTCTGACTCTTGATTTCAGCTCAGGTTGTGATCTCGCATTTCGTGAGTTGAAGCCCCACATCAGGCTCTGTGCTGAGAGCGCCGAGCCTTCTTGGGATTCTCTGTCTCCCTCTCTCTCAGGCCTTTTTACACCCCCCCTCAAAAATACACAAATAAACATTAAAAGAAAAGAATAAAATACTTCGCAATTTCTGTAAGTTGAAATTGATGGTATGAGGCAAGGAAGGGGAGCTATTAGCTATGTGACTTTGGTAAATGACTTAACATCTCTGAACCTCGGTTTCCTAATCTATAAAATGAGGACGTGTATTTTGGAAATGGGAACTCAGAGAAAAGTCATTTTTTTCTTGTCCAACCGCGGGGTTTCTCCACCTCAGCAGTACTTACATTTCAGATCAGGTTGAAGTGTTGTTGTGGGGCTCTGGCCTGTGTATTTTAAGACGTTTAATAGCGTTTAAGATGTTTAACAGCGTATCTGGTCTCTAATGAGTTTCTTATTTTTATGTGTTTAAATATCTAGTTCTTTCATTCTGAAAATTATGTTGCTTTCTGGTGCGAAGTCAGTATTTTATTTTAGAATAAGGGTTTTTTTCCCCCATATATTTAATTCGTATAGCTATATTTTTTTTTAAATTTTTTTTTCAACGTTTATTTATTTTTGGGACAGGGAGAGACAGAGCATGAATGGGGGAGGGTCAGAGAGAGAGGGAGACAGAGAGTCGGAAACAGGCTCCAGGCTCTGAGCCATCAGCCCAGAGCCTGACGCGGGGCTCGAACTCACGGACCGCAAGATCGTGACCTGGCTGAAGTCGGACGCTTAACCGACTGCGCCACCCAGGCGCCCCTGTATAGCTATATTTTGAATATAGCTAATATAGCTAATATTTTGAATATTTCAAAGCTAATTTTTTGAATGCCAGCTACATGACAGACACTATTTTAAACACTTGGTGTATTTTTTTTTTCTGGTTTTGTCTTCACAATAACCTAATGAAGGAGTTCGTGTAACTATCCTCATACAGATAAGGAGACGGAGAGTGAGGTTAATGATTGCTCACGTTTAGAGGGCAAAGGAGCAGCAGCACTAGAATTTAAACCTATGTTCCTGTGTCCCCCAAGCTCCTGGGTGTACAGGTCCCACTCCCAGCACCCCCACTTTGCCCCATCAGGATCTTTCCTTTTCAAGAACTTAGTTTTAGGCTGTTAATGTTTCCTAATGAACTTCAGAACCCTTTTTTATTTAAAAAAATTTTTTTTCAACGTTTATTTTTTGGGGGACAGAGAGAGACAGAGCATGAACGGGGGAAGGGCAGAGAGAGAGGGAGAACCCAAGTGGGAGATAGCAGCTGGCTCCGGCCATCAGCCCCAGAGCCTGCGCGGGCTAACTCCCGGACCCTTGAGACCGTGACCTTGGCTGCGTCGGACTGACTAACCCATGCCACGCCAAGCCTCAAACTTGTTTTAAAAGAGACCTCTCAAAGAATCTTTCTGGCATGAAGATAGTAAATTCACTCTGACAGTGAATGACATTTCTGTATTCAGTCCTTCCATCCAGAAACAATTGTCTTCTCTCCTGCAGGAGACGCGCCAGAAGCTTCTGGGATAGGTTTGGTATTTTTTTGTGCTTGCTTTTTTTTAATTTAATGTTTACTTATTCTATTTTTGAGAGAGAGAGAGAGTATGTGTGTGTAAGTGGGGGAGGGGCAGAAAGAGAGGGAGACAGAGAATCCCAAGCAGGCTCCACAGCTGTCAGCCCAGAGCCCAACGTGGGACTCGAAGCCACGAACCGTGAGATCACGACCTGGGCCGAAACCAAGAGTTGGATGCTTAACCAACGGAGCCACCAAGGTGCCCCTAGAGTTTGTATTTTATTCTTATAAATACTGTTTTTTATTCTTATTCTTATAAGACTGTTTCGAAGGAGCCCTTTAGTTAGTGTAGAAGTAGTGTCCCTACCTCCTCAGAGCCCATTTTGCCCCACGTCTTCCTCTTTGCCTGGCTCACCTCTGTTTGTACTTCCTGGAATTGTGCTGGGGAATCACATATGATCTCCGCTAGACTCCTGGACATCCCTCAACTGGAGCCCTTAGTTTCCTGTTCACCAGTTGCTTACCTGGACGCCTCACCTGCTAGAGCAAATTTACAAAGGACAGTGGAGGCATCACGCAATGTCAATACATCCCCTGCCTGAGGGGTCCAGCGTCCTACAGGGGCTGCGTAAGTGGTTGTCTAAGGAAGTGTATCTCACCATACTGTTGAACTCGCTGTTACTTTTCCTTTACATATGCTGTTGCACAGTGGTTTTCCAATGTGTCAGAGTCACCTGGAGTGCTTAGTAAACACACATATTTGGGCACCACTTCCAGAACTCCTGATGCGTAAGTCTGGGGGAGCCCTAAGAATTTGCATTTTTAACACATTCCGGGTGCTGGCTGCTGCTGCTGACTCGTGGCCCCTGCTTGAAGAACTGTTGCTCCAAAAGAACTTGTTCTTATGGAGCTGGAACAGGGAGTTTGTTGGTTACTCAAAAATGTTGTTTAAAATGGGGAACCATAAGCTAGGATACATATTTTAAGTGTTTCGCTTTAACTTAAGACACATAAATACACTTTGATTCACCAATTTGCTGCCTTAGGACTTTCTCCCAGTAGGGATCTTCAGTGGTTCTCCAATGTCTTTCTTGCATAAACCATACCAATTTTGCATATCTGTAATTTCTAGCCTTTTCTCTAAAGGGAAGTGTGAAATGAAAGACACTTGCAAAGCGGTATGAACACAGACATTCTCATGTGGTTGTATGTCTTTCCTGTGGTTGTACGTCTTTCTTCTATTCTTCAGTGTCTCTCTCACCTGATTTCTTTTTAGTAACTTGACTTTATTTCCAAAGCATTCAGCCTCATTTTTATAGAAAGCCATCGTTTTCTTTTTACCCACATTTCATCGATGTACTTAATATTTAATTGAATTTAATCCAAGGACGACTGGCATAATCAAGGTTGAGGCTCATACCTGCCTCTAGCTGATTGTACAACTAAGCTGGTTAGGACGGAAGTTGCCAGGATGCTAGGAAACAGTGTACCAGCCCTAGTGATCGGTAGGTTTACAGGGAGGATGGAGGGCATCAGTTCACCTGGCGAGGGGGTTAAATGAAGGTCAGTGAAGGGGCGCCTGGGTGGGTCAGTCGGTTGAGCGGCCAACTTCAGCTCAGGTCATGATCTCGCGGTTTGTGAGTTCATGCCCCGTGTCGGGCTCTGTGCTGACGGCTCGGAGCCTGGAGCCTGCTTTGGATTCTGTGTCTCCTTCTCTTTCTGCCCATCCCCTGCTTGTGCTTGGTCTCTCTCTGTCTTGCAAAAATAAATAAATGTAAAAAATTAAAAAAAATTAAAAAAAAAGGTCAGTGAAGAGAATGTGTTTACTGCCACCTACAGGATGCCTTTCCACCAGAGTATTCAGATATTGCAAATAAAAATACAATGCACCTAGTTAAATTTGAACTTCAGATTTATAAAAAAATATTTTTGGTTTGTGTGTGTGTGTGTGTGTGTGTGTGTGTGTGCGTGTAAGTGTGTCCCATGCAAATTTATTTGGGACATACTTACACTAAAGAAGTACCCATTGTTTATCTGAAATTCAAATAAAACTTTTTTTAAGATAATTTTTTAGTATAGTATGTCCCATACAGTGTTTGGGATATACTTACATTATGAAATATGCTTGTTTATTTGAAATCCCAACTTAACTGGGACTCCTGTAATTTTTGTCTGGCAATCCTACTTCTGCTCCATATTTTCTTGACATTTGTTGCCTTTTTTCAAGTCTAGATGAAATATCTGCTCCTCTCTGGAATTTTCCTGCCCTCCTTCTAAGCCCATAAATCGTTCACTTTGAGATTCCCACCCTGTGCTCTGTTTTCCTCTCAAGGGTAAGACTGGATTACCGGCTACCGAGACTGGATGCTGAGTCGTCTCTAAGCTCCAGAGAATGGAGTCTTGTCCTCTGTGATGGAGTCCTCCCTTCTCCCCAACTTTCAGTGCAGTGCCTCATGGGCAGTGAGAGATCAGTCCATGTTTGCTGAGTCAATTATTTAATGAGTGAGGCCCAGCTAACCCTCCAAAGTAAAGTGTGATGCCACCCCCTCCTCTGCGTGAATTAGCAGGGAGGTGAGATTTAACGCTGGTTTTCAGAAGAGTTCTCATTTGGCCCTTTTTCTTTGTATTTTTCAGAAAGATCAGTGACAGATTCAACCATAGGAGCCACTTCTGAAGAGACACAGACACCAGGTGGTAACTGAACTCTGGGATTGGGTGGTTGTGGGGCCCAACGCCACCCCCAAGGACTCAGGAGGGCCTGCTATGGAGATTCTTGCTGGGTTTTAGATGTAGGGCAATGAAGGGCCTCTTCTGATGGGGTCTACCAGGGCCCAGGCCTCTTCCTCGTAAGGTTCCACACTGACCAGAAGATAGGTCCTGAGTCTTCATGCTGGCCTCTGCCCAGTGATACCCCTTTCCTAAGATCTCTCCCCCTCAGGGTGTTCCCTGGGGGTTGCAGCCACTCAGAGAGGCAGCAGAGGCAGGTGTGGACAGGAGGATCTAACTAAGAGTCTGGATATAATCAGTTATGATTTCTCTTCTTTTCTAGAATTTTTATCAAGTGTTGGGAAAACAGTGAATACCTCTGCCTTGGTTGATGGTTTAAATAGTAACTTCTTCTGCTGTTTCTTTATCTTCTTCTAGCCCTGTGTGTGCACGGGTGTGCCTGCCTGTGCAAAAGTGCAGACCTTATGATTTGGGTCACATAGTTCAATGTTGAATATATAGATGCCAAGAGGCAAAACTGTGCCATGGGTAAGAGCAACTGGCCTGAGTACAAGTCCTGCCCCTTATTGCCTACCAGCCAGTTGGTCTTGGGTCACCTTCCAGAGCCTCCGTTTTTCCATGGGTTGTTTTGAGGACTAACCAGGATGATACATGGAAAGCTCTTGAATAGCATCTGAGCAACTGCGTGGTTTGGTCAGGGCTCAGCACAGGTTGTCCTGGACGATGTGTGCTGCTCAGGAAACAGATCCTACCTGTGGCACTGCCCCCACAACGCACATGACTGTGGCCATGGGGAAGACATGGGCCATCTGCTCAGGGGGGCCTCCAAGAGATAATGCATATTACATAGCTCAAGGCAGAATCATGATAGCAATGACCTCTCTTCCTCTCCAAACTGATTTGTCCATCAGGAAAGTGGAAACAATGGAGTGCTTTGACCAACTTATTTTACCGCTAAGTCAACGTCAGTTTACTTCTCTCTAAGAGGAGGGAATCCTACCATTATGGCTTGCCATGAGGACCAAATGAGACAATGTGGGTGATGTACTTAAAGACAGTGAGTGTTGGAAATTGTAGAATTATCGTCATCATTGTAATTCTTATTGCAACGGTGGCTGACATCCGTTGTGTGCCGACAACACGCCAGCCAGTCTGATACACATTTGATCTATGTCTCTCGTTTAATTCTCCCGATTAAATGAGAATTTAATCGAGGGTCAGTAAGTCTCAGTAAGTGACCACCTCTGTCATTTTATGAGAAAGGAAAGACATTTTCACCTCCCCACTGTCTTTGTCAACACAAAGCCACTTGACTGTTTTTTGGACCAAACAGTTGCCAATCTATGCTTTTAGTGATTTCAGCCAGTCAAGAACCGAGAAGCCAAAGCCCGCCTTCTTAGCTCCTCATGCCCATTCATACGAATCGGCCAGGCTACGTTCCCTCAAAGAAATAAGAAAAGGAATGGGTCCCACATTTGTACGAAATTAGGTACAAGCCTAATTTGCTTTTCTCCAGGGATGAAACGTTCATTTCTATTTTAATGAAATACAGAAATATCTGCAGCAGGAAGTATACAGAAACAAGAGCCCACATTATTAAAGAGTGTTACAGTGAATTTATTCTTCAGATGTAAAAAGCCATTTTTTTTAAGTCACCATGTTTCTTGGGACTAGCTTCGCATTTTGTTCTCCACGCACCAGAGACTCAAGAAGTCTTTATCAATTTGAATGAAGTTTCAAAGACAGATTACAGATCTGTTGACGTTGATCCACATGCAGTGGCTATAACTCTACTTTGGAGTCAACCAGAAGAAAACCAATGGTTCATATGTGGATTTCTTGGTCAGGATCCCTGTAGATGAAACACACTCATGTCTGATTTTTCTTTTATTCCTTTGTAGTTTCCCAATCAGATCTTCTCACAACACCTGGTGAGTACTTTCAAAACAATGTCTGAATTTGGTTTAGAATTTAATTATTATCCTATACAGTTATTTACATCTTAAGCACAAACACTGCCTTTAGTGAATGGTATGAGGTCTACACAAAAGCATGATTTGTGTCCTTTGTAGAAATACAAAGACAATAGAAGCTTCTTTCAGTTATAGAATAAATGGACCAAGTAGTTATACTGTTATGTTCTTCTTCAATTTTATTTTGCCTTTGCCTCAAACTTTTATGTACATCAGAATCAATGAGGATATTTTTTGAATGCCAGTTCTTGGGATCTACCTTCCTTCCCTTCAGAGACCCTGATTTGGAGGGTCCGGTTTGAGGCTCAGGAATCTGAACTCTTACGTAACTGAAAATGAATATGGTCCGTAGACCGCACTTTGAGCAACCATGCTGCATGGCCCAGTACTGAATTAAGTTTTTATGTTTGGAGTGTAATTCCAGAAGCATGACATTGCTAAGAATTTCCAAAGACAGTGGCAGAGATATGTATATATGTATTTTAAGTGCTATCTGTTTTTACTTATTTTTTTCTTAATGTCTGTATTTTGCTCAATGTCAAGTACATTTAAGTTGGAAACATTTTCCCAAGTGGTTCATGGCTGCATCATAAGTCTGACTGGTGTCAAGGCTTTTCAACAAGTGCATTGCTAACATTGAACGTTTACACCCCTTTCAAAATGGCCTCAATATCTTTGCTACCTCATTTGGTGAGAACCAGTCCTGCCATGGACCCTTCTATGCAGGAGAGACTACAGTGTGGGCTCTCTGTGTGGTGTTTCAGGAGAATGTGTTTCCCGATCTCAGGGACTTATGGTCTAATGGCAAGATAGACAGTAATCATACAGTTACAAGTACAGCTGTGGGAAATGCTGGAGCAAGAGGTACATGGCAAGAGAGATGTGATCAGGCTATGAGAAAGAGACCAGCTCCAAGATAGTCACAGGCAAACTCAGGTCTGGAGCTAGTGCAGGAATTCACCAGACAGAGCACGAAGGAAGAGTGGTTTTCTGTTCTTCACTGCATTTGCTGTCAGGAATGTGAAAGAACAGGTACAGACTCAGATGGACGATAGCCACCCTGTTTCTGCCATTAGATACTCCCCTCCTCCATGCTTAGCCATCTAGCCAGGGTACTGCCCTGATGGGAGGTTATCTTTAGGTTCCATCTTCCAAACTGCCCTTGACACATTTTCCAAAGCTCTAACTAAAAAAAATTAAAAAAAAAAAAAAGAGACTTCCAGTTAATAGAGTTTTTGAAGTGTTGCCTGCCATTGGTGGTAGAATATCATTTGTCTTTTGGAGCAAATGGGTTAAGAGCCACAGCTGGACTTGATTCTTGTTTGCCTTCTAAATTCTTGTCCAGATATGGATGGAGTTGGTGGAAGGCAAAGCCAGAGGTGTGTTCATGAGCAAATCCGTGGGAAGCTCATCCTTCGATCATATCTTGAACTGACATATTAAAAATGAGCAATGTAGCATGATCTCTGCTTTGTGTCATCCTATCCCCCCTGTACCAACCCCTTAAGTTGGCCATTTTCTTGGAGATAGTGAGACTTAATGAAGAGGGCTTATACACAGCTTCCATCCACAACATCCTTAACTCCACTGAGATAGACGCAGACTATACGGCAGAGTAGATGGTACCTGAGAGGATGAACTAATCTGGGGGCTTGTGACAGATGTAAGATGAAAGCCTTCTTAAAGATGAAAACCACAATAATTGAAAGCACTCTTATCCTGGAGTGGTGCTACACAAAAACAATATGGAAATTTAGTCAAGGCTGCTGGGTGACTTCATATTGAAAACCTCATTTTGTTGAGTTTATGGAAAGTAGGTTGGCGTGGACCACTTTCCTTGCAAGAACCACAAGGAGTGGGTTGATAGCAGGCAGTGGCTGTGACAAAAGTCAGTGCAGGATGATAGCTGAAAGCCTTGACAATAGAGGTGGAGTCTGTATGTCCTTGGACTCATTTGTTCAATGTTTGTGACTCCGTGTCCTTGTCTATAAGTGGGGATACTGGGTTGGGGTAAAGATGAACTGAGATAGTACATATAAATAGTAAAACATGGTGTTGTTCTCAACTATGAAGATGTAATACTTCTTCAGTAAATGTGTTTAAGGTCCAGAGCACTTTCCAGAGTGCTATTGGAGTCACCACACAGTCCCCTTAGGCTTCCCTTCTAGAATAACTGGAGTGGCCTAGCCAGTAGATATGGGCTGGTTTGATGACACCGGTTTGTTTTTATACTCAAGCTCTTCTTCAGGCCCTCCTCACCCCCACTAGAACAATAATGTATGCCATGTTCAAATGTACACAATAATTACTCCAGAATATTTGGGGCAATGGTTGAGTCTAGATGCAAAGGGACCAGCTCCCTTGGAAAGTGACTAGGTCTTTGGGGGGAATATCTTTTGAGATCTCTTTGAAGCTTTTCCTGGTTGGTTCATTCTGATGGCTCAACTGTCTTGGACATAGTACCCAGCAGTAGAGACCAGACTATTTCTGTTCCTGGAAAACAAAGAAGTGGGAGCTGTTCTTTCCAAGTGATTTACCATCATTCCCAAAATGGCAGCTGACATCATCTACAGCTCTGTGGTTGATTGCTGGAAGAAAGCAAGTGGGTCTCAGTACATTTGTGGAAAAGTGTCTGTTCAGACTGTGCACAAATAGCCCAACCAGAGACAACCTTAGTGTTCTGTTTGGTGCTATGGCTGGATGTTGTCAGGACTCTGGATCTCAGAGCTTCTGAGATGGATGTTTATTGACTGCCATGTGACTAAGCAAGATACCTGGAACAAGAAAATAGGAATTGTGTGGTGTCATCTGTACTGTGTTTAAATGTCAGAGTTTTCAACAGAGGACTCTCTCAGGCATGTCTGTCATCATGTCCTTGAGTGTGGGAGCGGGGATGGCATGTCAGAAATGAGGTGGGGATGTTCTGGTGCAGACATTTCCTAGGTGTGTGGCCTCTGTTGAAAGAATGCTCTAGCTTCTTGTTTCCATTTTGGATTGCTTCTCCATCCTCAGGGGCGTGCAGCTACATGGCCTCACTGGCCCTGTTACTGGGTCATCAACAATATGAAGCAGGGCAGCTGGAGAAGTCCAGTGTGGAACTCACATTCAAAGTGTTGAGACAAATGGGGTGGTTCTCTGGCATCCAGTCCCCTCCCTGGCCTGTTGGTTTTGCTAGAGAGAGACAGATCTCTGAACCCCTGAGTTCTGCTCCCAGCAGGACTCACATTTACAAAGAATCTGGAGAAGTTTGTCAAATGCCTTAACTTTCCCTGTACCAGGAAGTTAAGAAAAAAGAGATCGTGAAAGAAAATTTATTAAAATTTATAGTAAGAATTTAAACATAACAGATCTCCTGTATGAAGTAGATTTTGGCACATTAGCATTAGAAAAAGTAAAAATGTTACCGTCACATGTCCTTTTAGCAAAATGAGATGGTCCAAGTTCTTGCTGAGAAATATCACTGATGAAATCCTTTCCACTGAAGTGAGTGAGCGCACTATATTTTGTTTTTGTACTTAGAATTATATTACTGACTCTTTGATTCTTGAATTTGAGGAAGTTCCTCTACGTTATCATAATTTGAAGGCTCAGAGTCTGAGATTTCAATTGTACAAGCAATTTCACCATTACTGTTAGCATCTACAGGACTGCTATCTCTTTATGTTCCTCTTCTGACTCATCTAGTTATTGTGAAACATCTTCCTTTGTCAATTTTCTTCTCTTTATCATTGATAACAAGTAATGAAAGGTTCTGAATTCTTCATTTAATTCAATGAAAGCCAAAAGCATCCTACAAAGACAGTGTCTCCAGTCTTTAAAAAAATACCCTCTTGAAAGCTACGGTGATATTTGGGTCACTGAGAAATGGTGACCCATTCCATTTTTCTTCTAGATAAAGCCTACCATTCCATTTTTTTTCTTCTAGATAATGCCACCATTCTCTCTTTGTCTTTATTATATAACTCTTTTTTTATGATAGTTAATAATTAATGAGTAATGCTGAACCAATTTCTCAAATGATGAAATAGCAAAATGTCTCAAGATATAGGAAAAAGGGGATCACTGAGAGCCCATAATGTATCTTGGACTTCTAAAAGGATCCAGTGAACCCATATAGTGACTATAAGAATGAGTTTATTCTGTTTTCTTTTCTTTTATTAAAGTTTTTTTTTATAAGTTTATTTTTGAGAGAGAGAAAGATCTGAGCATGAGTGGGGAGGGGCAAAGAGAGAGGGAGACACAGAATCCGAAGCAGTCTCCAGCAGAATCCGAAGCAGAATCCAAGCTGTCAGCACAGAGCCCGATACGGGGCTCGAACTCACGAACTGTGAGATCATGACCTGAGCCGAAGTCGGATGCTTAACCGACTGAGCCACCAGGCGCCCCAATCCTATTTTCTTTTAATGAATAAATATTCTTTTTGTCCTTTGGAAGACCTCTAAAAACAAAGAAAGGTCATGACCTATCAATCCTCACAAATAGAATGTGATTTGCTCAAAAAAAGAAACTCAAAAACTAAAATGAAGTCTGATGGCCCCTGAAGGTGTCCTTAGGGTTAATCTGAAGTCAAAGGGCATAGAGAGCTTTAGAGTGGCCTCACTAATGATAAAGATCCAGGGTTCTCTAGATGTCGGTTTTCTTCAAGATAGACTAGAAATTTCACAGGGTATGGATCAGAAGGAAGAGGTCATCTGCTGCCAGAATAAATACTTTTTTAGGGGGCCTCTGAGTGGCTATTCTGAGTGCTGACTCCACTCAAATTTCAGACTGGAAAGGAGGATTCAACTGGCATCCAGAATCCTGGAAACCCGTCTACGCTGCCTTTTCTTGTCTAGCCCTTCTTTCTGCGAACAGATTACGCCATAAACTGTAGCGTAAGTGGGCAGCGTAAAGAGGCATGTACTTCATCACATCTAAAATTATCAAACACTCCATATCCAGCCCACTTGTAATCTATTCTTGCAAAACCCCAAACACTGCAAGAACACTGTCGGCACAGAGACCCAAGAGTGAGCCACAACGCCCCCTGGCATGGTTGTAAGGTAACGCTCAAGCCAATTTCTGTGACTGTACATCATTTATAAACAGCAGAACCTCTGTTTCAAGGTGAATTTTGTTTCTGTCTAGGTCTGTGGAACCCCTTGACTACAGACTATGGTAAGACATTTTTTCTTTACTTGTCTTCCTGGGGTTTTGCTCACTGGCTGAGCCAGCCAGTTCTGCTGCTGTTGCTGCTGCTGTTGGCTAGTTGAGGCTGAGTGCAGTCTTGGCCACAGGGCTAGCACCTGTCCTTTAGAACGCAGGGATGGAGAGGGAAGGATCAGTGGATGCTGAGACCCTAGGCGTGTCCCAGATCCGCACTCAGCCAGTCTCACTGTCATCCTCCTTCCTTCTCTCTGCTTCTCGCTCATTTGTTGCGTGAGATTAGCTTCAGCTTGGTGTCAGGAGGGATAGGTGAAAAAAAGCCAGTGCCTCTTCTCAGTGATAGTTATCTTGATGATAACTTACACCTCTGAAGCACTTTCTATGTACCTTGCACAAAATCAGTTTCATACACCAAATGAGTTAATGTATAAAAAAATCATTTAAAATACTGCTTGGCACGTAGTACGTGCTCAGCTAATGCACACAGTAAGTGCTATTATCATGAAATCTTTCCAACATTTTGAGGTAAGTAGTATTATTACCCCCAAGTTGCAGATGAGGAAACTGGGGTACAGATTGGTCACTTGTCAATAGTTATATGTCTAAGGCCACAGGGTGGGGAAGTGTCTGGGCAGAAATTTGAACCCAGAACAGGTGCCTTTGCCTCTGTTCACTATTCTTACTAAATCTATCCGTCTTTCCTCAACCTCTGAGCATCTGTGCACACTTTGCACTGAATTTGATATGTCAGAGTCCTTGATGTGACCACTTAGGACAGTGGATCCTACCATGGGGTTCTTGGCTCTGTTGAGACCAATCTCTGTCCTTTCAGAAGCTGCCCTGAGGGTCCAAAGGTGGCCTGGGAGGGGCTGGAGGGCAGTTTTTTGGTGATTGACCACCAGTAAAGGGCAGCTGAGGGCAGGGAGACTGAGAGATCTTCTGCAGGGACATTCACAGCAGTGAAGGGGCAGCAGGAAAGACTGAGGAGGCCTGGAACGCACCTCTAGAATACTCTAGAAACAGCCCGGTTGGCACTGCCCCTCTCTTTTTCTGATTCCTTCCTTTATAAAGACCACAGCAACCACCTGCCCCCTTATCTTCCATCCCATCCCACCCTCTCTGGCCCCCCCCCCATAAATTTCTCATAACCACAAACCAACCATTGAAAAGCACACCTTGGACCGAGCTCCTGCTGTCCCAGTGTTGGGCTGGATTCCTCAGACCCTGCTGCTTGTTTTCCTCCCCTAGCGCAGGTGGTTCAGCAGGGTCATGTCAGGCAGGAGCAAGGTGCCCATGACGGTGGCACCCCGGCTCTGTCAGGAGGCTTGAAAGGTGACCTGAGGCCCACGCTTGGATGAATGCCATCCAAGACTTGACCCTGATCAAGTGGAGAATACAATGAAGTGCTTTGAGCAGGAAAATAGTTGAACATATTCACAATTTATGAAAACAAGACTTGGGACATTCCAGGGGGAAACAGATCAATCCCCTCAGCAGAGGAGGGGGCATAGAGTAAGCTCTCCATAAATGCTTATGGAATCCATCAATGGGATGGATTCAAGAGAGAGGGGCAGAGGGCAGGAAAGTCCACTGACAGGGCCCTGGAGTAGGCCAGGTTCAGGAGAAGGAAGATCTGGCAAAATGGCAGTGAGAATAAAAGGAAAGACAACGCTGTTGATACGTTGGATACAAGAGGTACAGAAGAGGGGGAATCCAATATAGCAACCAGATTTCCAACACCGCTCATGTGGAGCATGGTGACTCCATGATTGAAGTAGACAAAAGAGACTGTGTTGGGTACCAGACAGCAGGGCCCGGCTATCCAGAAGGTCACTGGGAATATTGGTCTAGAGCTTGGCTGGGCTTGTAGGGGTTGATCAGCACTGGAGAGGTGGCTTTGGGGGTCCCTCCTCCTGGAAAGCTCTCAGAGCACATGAGCTCATTCAGGGGGAAGATAGCATGAGAAGAGGGCTAAGACAGCGTGTGGCAGGGCAGCAATATGTAAGGTGCTGGGAGAGGAGAAACAGGGGTGAAGGAGATGGGGAAGTGGTCAGAAGGAGGAGGGGAACAGGGGGTACTGGTGAGTGAAAGCCAAGGGGGCAGAGAGAGGACGAGAGCTTTCCACTCTTTCAATGCAGGTTTGCCTCTGAGGCTGGTGAGCGGAGGTGACCGGTGTCAGGGCCGCGTGGAGGTCCTGTACCAAGGCTACTGGGGCACCGTGTGTGACGATGACTGGGACACCCAGGATGCAGATGTTGTCTGTCGGCAGCTCGGCTGTGGCCTTGCGGTGTTGGCCCCGGGCGGGGCCTACTTTGGTCAGGGCTCGGGGAACATTCTCTTGGGCTCCGTATACTGCTCAGGATGGGAGCCCTACCTGTCGAGCTGCTCCCACAGTGGGTGGTACAACCATGAATGTGGCCACAGGGAAGACGCTGGAGTTGTGTGCTCAGGTAGAGCTGACCTCGCCTCGTGTGGTCGCCTGTGCCCCTTGGATGGCAGAGGCTCCTGCTGACCTCTACATCATGGTGCATGCCCACAGCACTTTGCAGTTTACCTGCTTTACTCTAAGCCATGTCTTATTTGATGTTAGAGGGCAGGTTCCTTTTCACTCAGAAAGGGTGAGATCCCAGGCTCAGAGAAGGCAAGTGACTTGCCTGGAGTCCTAAAGCTGGGAAGCGGTGCAGGTGGGTTTCAATCACAGGCTCCTCCAGAGTTTGTCAATGCAACACCCAGTGGTATCGTTCTGATGATCCCTGGCCTGGGATGACCAAATGCCTTCCTATGTGGCCCTATCTCCTCCTTTTAAAGTCAGGAGAGAAGGACTAGGGACTTCTGGTCCTTAAAACTTAAATCTCTACCAAAATCAAACACTGAAGTAACCAGTATATTCTCTTTACTGGGGATTAAATGACAAGCAAAAGATATTTACACTCACAGTGGAAGAGAGAACTTCTCCTTGGCTCAACCTAGCACACGCCAATGCCGAGTTTCTCCTTGTTCACACAATGCTGGTGGGTGTTCAAGCACCAAGTGGTCTTTTAATCCACAAAGAAACCCTGAGGATAACACTCAATGTGTCCCCCAAAGGGGGATTCCTAGATAAATTATCCATCTTTAGAGTGACCTCTGGCATTTGCTATGTGGACTGGTGTGTGCGCATGCCCCCGTGCATGGGACGTGACCCAGATAATCCATCACTTGAAAATGGCTTCCCCCAGAAAGTGTGGGCCTCCAAGCAGTCACTTTGGAGTGGTTTATTTCAGCATTTGGGGATGCATCTTTGAAAAAACCGCCTTTATTCTTAGTTGGGGCCACCTCCTCAGGAATATCTCAGTGATGGTATATACTTGTCATTTAAGGGTGTGGGTAAGCTATAGAAATAGGCAGTTTGTATTGGAAATGCGACCTTGTACATCAGGTGGGGCTGTTAGTCAACTGGGTGATTTTTTGGATGGAGACAGTGGAGGCGGAGGCGGGGGTTGGTGGTAGGAACAAAGAACATCTCTGGTGGCATTCCAGCATTGAATAAGGGCTGATGAAATGACAGAGAGAGGAATTCTGTTTTGTAAGGAAGAAATGGAGCCTGTCAGCAGTGGGTGGGGTTTCCGGATCACTGCATACAGCCCTTATTTCAGAGCTAAGGAAACAGAAGTCCACCCCTTCTCAAATGAGAGCCAATACTGATTACCTCTTCCTTTCTCCACTCTAGCTTCTTTGTCTCCCACGGAGACACCCCTGGCAACAGCTGCGGTAGAAGGTAACATTTGTTATATGGGATCACTATGGGCTCATTACCTCACTGTCCTCACAGGGTCATCTTTGATCCAGAAGAGGTGCAAAAGGTGTAAGAGATAGGGGTGCTTAGCAACAAAGAGGGAACCTCTGAACAAGGCCTCAGGCCTCAATGGGACCATGTCCCTGAGATTGGGGAGGGATTGACTTGCACAGGCACTTCCAAGGAGTTCCAAGGTGGAGCTTGGTGTCTTGTCTCCAGGAAGGCCCTGTTGCTCATGCTCAGGGCCTACCCCTGTGGTCCTCACCGCTGCACGTTGGTGCCTGGCCAGGCTGGGGTGCTGGGTCTCTGGCTGCAGGGCCTGGAGAGGCAAGTGCAAACCTGTTGGGGTAGCATCCTTGCGTGCTTGTGCATTTTCCTGAGCCCATATCAGACCAACTTGGTTCCTTCTCAGTATAAAGTAACCATGGTCCTTCAGCTTATGGGCGTCAGAGGTCCCATGCACCCCCCTGGGGGCACCTCCAGTGAAACAGCTGGGAGGCAGTCAATACAGCTCGAGTTTCTGGCAACCTGGGCTTTGGGAAGGAAAGTCACTGCCATATCACATGGGAAATGTTGACCCTAGGACAAAAGAAGGAGAGCCTTCACATGAAGGCCCCTGACTAGGAGTCAGCATGGATCAGCTGGGAATCTTAATGGTACACATGTCCGGCATTTCTGTTCCTCAGGCATTATGCTTTCCTGTCCCTAAAGGCCATGGGGTGAAGTCTGACTTTACCTCTTTCTCTTCCCTATGATTAAGGACACAGATGTCACCAGAGCTGAGGAGGACACTGGCTTTGTTAAATTTAGCCATGTCTTCCCAAGATTCTTACTTGTAGCAGGTGTAAGAGGAGAACCTGCTCCTCTCTAGAGTGGTTTCCTCTGACTATGTATTAGGAGTAACAGCTGGGCCTGACAAGTTCTTTGGTACAACTGGTCCACCCAGGGGTGCAGGTGAGGAACTCAGGGGCTTAAATATCTGACTATGACACTATCTGACTGCATATAGGACTTACATAGACCTACTCTTGTCAGGACCTCCAGTGTGGGGTAGATGTGGGAGTCAACTTTCTCTAGAGCCAAAAAGACCTCAGGTAGAAGTCCAATAGGGAATTCAGAAACAAAATGAACGCTTTAGTGAGAGTGGGTTAAGAGGAGCAATCAGGTCATCTCTTCTTCAGGTCCCAGCACCAGGTAAGATCTTGCTGGGGCCTTGGACGAACACCACAGCTCCTTGAAACAATGTGAAAATCATAGGTTTAAAGCCATAATCTTAATGGGTAAACATCAGAAGCATTTTCACTAGAGTAGAAAACAAGGCAAGATGGCCTTTGGGACCCCTGTCATTTAACACTGTGTAAGAGATACTAGCCAATGCAATTAGACAAGAGAAATCAGTTAGAAGCGTAAGGATTAGAAAAGTTATTTTTACATCTGTCCCCTGGAGCCCTGCATAGGTCACGTGTGGGATGGTCAGAATCAAGGTCAGTAGGTTAATGAAGAGAGATTTCTTCCAAAATAGTCTTTTAGAATGAAAGAGCTTGAGGCTAGACAGGTTTGTTCCCTTTTCTAAAGTCACATAGCAAGATGAAATCCAGGTCAGAAATAATGTTTCCTTAGCAGGTACTATTTTACTTCCAGTTACTGATTCTCCTCAGAAGGGACCTAATTTTACATTTTATGTTTTTCCCCCCTCCTTCTATAATCTATCTATGCAGATAGCACTACAGAGGATACTGGGACTACTGGTGCAATAGGTAATGATTAATTTTATTTGGCTCCTTTTTGGTGGGTAATGATGCCAAATATATACATGAGTGTCACTCTTTTTTTTTTTTTTTAACGTTTATTTATTTTTGGGACAGAGAGAGACAGAGCATGAACGGGGGAGGGGCAGAGAGAGAGGGAGACACAGAATCGGAAACAGGCTCCAGGCTCTGAGCCAACAGCCCAGAGCCTGACGCGGGGCTCGAACTCCCGGACCGCGAGATCGTGACCCGGCTGAAGTCGGACGCTTAACTGACTGCGCCACCCAGGCGCCCCTGGGTGTCACTCTTATTCAGGAAGAATTCTAGGAACTGGGGTGAGAAAGAGTGTTTTATGCATATAACACAAAGGAATGTCCCTTGTGACCCAGGGCCCGGCTTGAGTTGGAGCTTCCTTCATTGTCCATCCCTAGTGGGTGGGGAGGAATCAGTTGAAATATGGGATCTCTAGGAGCCTGGGTGCCTTGGGTCAGAGACCAGTGGAATCAGTCTCTAGACTACAGAGTTACCTGTTTCATCCCAAAATATGCACTGGTCCCAGCCATTCTAGCCCCAAAGACTTGACTATGGAGCCAGAAGCAGCATGTGAAAAATGTTTTCTAAGCCAACCTCAGAGCCCAAGATATGTATGAGAACTCACAAGACATCCTGGTGTCATCAGACAAGAATTCTCTTCAGCATAGGACAGTCATGGGTCGAGCTGTGTCCCTGTTTTGCTCAGACAAAAAACTTGTGGATAGTCTTTAAGCCCTCTCAAGGCTATAAACTAAGGTGCATTTACTTCCCCTTGAAGTTCTAGTGGCTTAGATTGGGGAGAGAAGTCACTGTCCTTTTAACCTTGAAGAATTCTAACTCATGATACTTTAAGAGTCCAGCCTACTTAAAACTCTCAGTGACCTTCACCTACTGTGAAGCACTATGAATATGATAGAGTCCTAAGACTTTGTCATTTGTGGCAACATGTAAGAGAAATGTTATGCCTTCATTTAGGGACTGAATTTGGTTTGGTCCTGGGGCTGGTGAGTAGAGGTGACTGGTGTCAGGGCCACGTGGAGGTCCTGTACTGAGGCTCTTGGGGCACTGTGTGTGATGATGACTGGGACACCAATGATGCCAATATAGTCTGTAGGCAGCTGGGCTGTGGCTGGGCCATGTCAGCCCCAGGAAATGCCCAGTTTGGTCAAGGCTCAAGGCCAATTGTCTTGGACAATGTGCACTGCTCAAGGCATGAGTCCCACCCGTGGAGCTGCCCCCACAATGGCTGAACTCACACAACTGTGGCCATGGGGAGGATGCCAGTGTCATCTGTTCAGGTGGGAAACAAATATTCCTGGCTCTCTCTTGAAGTGGTCTTTGATTGGAACAAACACACTGCATACTACAAGGCCCACATCCAACCCTCTCTGAGATATCCTGTGCCTCCTAAGGTTTCCTGGAGATAGCAGGCAACTGATATACAATAAGAAAGAAAGGGTAGAGTATGTTCTCCTCCCCTATTAGGCTAACAGAGAAGGACCAATATGACTTTGCAGCAACAATGGCATGGTGGGTGAAAGGAACCATCCACTATTCAGTGGACAGAAAAATTGAGCCATTATTCCTTCTCAGTGGAATTATTACTCAGTACACCACCAATTTCCCAGGACGATCTTTCTCAAGGCACACATCTTGTGTGTGGTTGGAAAACGAACCACCTTCACCCCTTTGTGGTCAAATTATGTTGGGTCATCAGTGAGGCAAACTCAGAGAACAGGATTGCGGTCCAAACTGTGCATTTGGGCAGGCAGTGAATAGCAGTTGGAAGTGGGGAAGGTGCAGGGAATGGCCGCTCAGTAGTACATAGAATGCTGAAGAACCACATATGACTAAGGGACCTGAGCTTCACCCCTGCAGAAAGCCCAAGAGACCTTGTAAAGATTGAGAGCATTGCACCTGGGCTGGTGGAATTGGAGTCTTCCTAGAATAACTACCCAGACTCATTCTTGCTGTTCCCATGCTGAATGAACACAATGATATGGCAGCCTGTTGCAGGCAGGGTGGTGGCATTCTGCTTGCTGGAAAGTCAGCCCTCAGACCTAGCAAGGCAGGCAATGGCAATGGGACATAGGGTGGGGCTCCCAGAGGATGGAGAGATTCATGGAGGGCCCTGGCTCTGTCTAACTGAGGGCACGTGAAGTCATCAGCTCTGTATGCATAGTCTCATAATCTTCCAGCTTGATCCAGTTGGGGCACCGGTCGCTTTGTGTCTAACCTCAAGTTTCTTTCTCACAGCTACTCACACCCAGTCCACAAGCCAGCCAGGTGAGTCTTTATGACCGTACTTGGAATGTTCCTTTTCTTCATCCCCCCCCCCCCCCCCCCCCCCATGCCTCTTCTACCCATTCTGGGAGAACCACTGTTCTTCAGAGAACCTATGTACACGCTTTGTCCCCCACCCCCATCATAGAGTCCCCAACAGGTGGTTCTTAACCAGACCTGGGATTCTAAAGTCCCATCTGTCTATCAATCCATGATGTTTCATCCAGTCCTTTCAGGCTGTCCCAGGAGACAGCTGCCTGCAGGTTCAGGGAACTGGCCCTGCGTTACATGAATTTCAGCTGTAGGGCAATCTTGGCTGATATGATGAGTGGGAGAGTGGACATGGATGACGATTAACCTCCTCTGAAGGGACAGCAGGCTGGATTCTCTTCATCACTCACTGCTTTCAGCAACCTCAGATTCATCAGGGTCATATGTATATCCAAAGTGGCAGGGACAGTGTCCAGGGGATAGGAGTGTAATAACTGATGGCAAGTTTCGGGTACCAAGATACCTGACTGGTTTCAAGTCAACCCACCACGCTCCTGACTCTTTTTGCCCAAGCTTCGGAGTGTGGGAAACTGCTCAGACTACATGCCTCAGAGCAGGGAGGTGGCAAAGGCTTTGTGAGGGAGAAAAGAACGTGCTAGGCTTAGAGACTGATGTGGACGGACCAGGTTGTGCTCTTGCATGGCCTTGATCCCAAGAGAGCTGGCTGAGCAGGAGGCTTGTGTATCACAAATAGAAGCAAGGTGGCAGGCTGCGATGTGCATTGTCAGCTGCCTGCCAAAAACTATTTTAAAAGACTGCTTTCCATGATGTCTAACTCTGGCCTTTCCCTTTGTCATCACTTCCAGGCACCTGGCTCCCCAACTCCACACCTGTAACACCAAATATAGGTAAATGATCCCCTTGACTCATTCTTCTTCTAGATAAAGTTTGGGTTTGGAAGTGACAGGAGGAGTCGCAGGGTGTGCCCTTCATTATTTTTGTCCCTGAGTGTGTGTGTTTGGTGGTAGAAAGAGGTGTGTCTCACACCCTAGGTCTGATCTTAGGGGGCTGGCCACCCGAATCAGGGGAATCATGGGATGAAGTTCAGTGAAGAGTCTCCAGCAGGGAGTTAATGTAATACTTAGAGCCCTCACAAGTCCTGCTGTGACCTTGCTCATGGCTCCCACGCTATGCAGTGGGGCCTCAGGAAGAGGGGGGCAACATGACAGTACTGCTCCTTTCGTGCCAAGTTGCCATCAAGTCCTGGGGCTTTTTCCAGAAAACGTCAGGGCTCCTCAGAAGCCAAAAAGCTGCCCAACAGAGCAGTGGTCTTGGCTTGCAACCAGTAGTTATGGGGCTCGATCCTGAGCAGGCCCAGTGGGGTTTGGGGTTATCTTCCTCCTCACCTCGATTGAATCATAAGGTGCTTCCCTGCATCAGAATATCCTAAGGCCTAGGATGTATAGGATGTTTCCACTATTTGCCTGTGAGGAAGATTAAACTCTAGGCATGTTCAAAGGTGAATGATGCCCAGGGCACTTTGGCCATGAGCAAGCCCCTGAGTCTGGAATATGCCTTAAACCTATGACCAGAAGAGAGACATGGACAGTGGGTTTTGTTCTTTGTCTTGCTAGGGAGTGAGGCAGGTTTGGCCCTGAGGCTGGTGAATGGAGGTGACCGGTGTCAGGGCCGCGTGGAGGTCCTGTACCGAGGCTCCTGGGGCACCGTGTGTGACGACGACTGGGACACCAATGACGCCAACGTGGTGTGCAGGCAACTGGGCTGTGGCTGGGCCGTGTCGGCCCCGGGAAGTGCCCGCTTTGGTCAGGGCTCAGGGCCCATTGTCCTGGACAACATGCGCTGCTCCGGGCATGAGTCCGACCTGTGGCGCTGCCCCCACAACGGCTGGAACTCGCACAACTGTGTCCATAGTGAGGACGCCAGTGTCATCTGCTCAGGTGAGCCTCTCATCATTCGGTGTTTGTCTTTTGGGGGTAGGGGTAGGGAAGAGAGACCTCACATTCTGATCAGCTCATTGGAAGCTACTTATACCATCCTTGTCTTCCTCAAGTCTCCTGAACTCTCCACTGGAATCAGTATTAGCTTTTTCAGGCTGCCAGGTGTCGAGATGGTAAATTAGGAGAAGAACCAAACTGCAAGTCTCCATGAAACAATTACGGGCCTCCTGCAACGCTGCATCAGGCAGCGAAAGATCCTCCTGCAAAATGGAGGACTCTCATGGGGATCCCGGCTAGGATTACAGAGTTTGTATGTGTGTGCCTATGCTGGCCCTGGGCTTGGGGTCCTGAGTCCCTGACTGCATCTCCCAGCCGAGAAATGTGCTGCCTGGTCCGTGCACTGGATTGTGCTGCGAAGGACAGCTGCTTTTGCAATTCCTGCCAGGCCAACCTTGTCATGACTCCTGCTGGGGCCTGAAAGAGCAGCCGTTGCCTTTTGGTGGAAGCTGGGCTCCTTGCCAAAAGCTCTACAGAGATGCTCTTTTTTGCTTCAATCTGGTCATGACATGTAGACATGAAGCTAATCACCTTACTGTGGGATACAATATTTGTGGTCTTCCTGGTCTTTTTACAAGGAGCATCCTTCCGGGGTGTGGGTGGATTGTGCCCTGCTCTTCATGGCAGGGGACAAGCTTCAAAGGTTGTGACCTCCTCAGGTCCTCTACCTTTGTGTCCAGTCATATCAGCTCTGTGCACTGTGTCTCATGTACTTTTGTTTTCACAGCTGCCCAGTCTCAGCCGACGACCACACCAAGTGAGTTCTGCTGCCTCTTGTCTCCTGAGTATCTCAGTCAGGGTACTGCCTACCTGGGGATCCAGTCAGTGGTTTCAGTGGAGAACAGTGGACTGTGTCTGCCACCTGGGCCTTCCCTGACCATTCTCAATATGTGGACACTTCCAGTCGAGCCCACAACACACGGACTGTCCTTACTGGCGCAGTGAAATAAGAGTCCTCTGGGTTCACGGTCCTAAGACTTTAGGTGACAGACAAGGCTGTCTCGGGAACATTTCTGCTGGATTGCATTGTCTGGACCAAACGCTCCATGTGTTGGGAGAATAGAGACGTTTTCACGTCCTACTTCCCACGTGGAGCCTACGTGATGCGTTTCCCAACAACAGGGTCATGACAGCACGGCAGTTAGCCTTGCACAGGGCACCACCTTGTTGCCGTTGTGCTGGACATTTGAAGGTGGGATTTTGGCTCTTGGCAGCCTCTTGGCAGAGATCCCTTTCTGCTCTATCCGGCAGAACTCCTCAGATATCGCCACCATTGGTCCCACCTAATAGTCACTTGAGCCAACCTTGATTGACTCCACCTCCTTTCTAATTCTA